AGAGTCATGAAATGGTCTGTGTTTAGGCTTCTGGCAGAAACAACAGATTCTAGGATGGGAAAAAGAGAAACAGAACAAGCCTGGAGCCCCCAGCTATACTGAGTTCCTGACCAATTTGGTCAAAGGACTAATTTTAGAAACCTGACCACAAAAATGTCCATTGGCAGTTCTCAAATAGTAGGATCCTGTCTTTTAAAAAGGCTTATAAGGGGGCCCAACATGAAACATTTAAAAAGCCTGTGCTCTGACTGGGAGTGTGGTGGGAGCAGCAAGAGACTGTAGAAACCCACTGAAGGCCCCTCTATAGGAACCTCAGACACTACCACTGGCTTCTCCGTAAAGGCCCCAGATCCTACCAAGGTCCCCTCTGTAAGGACCCAGGCCACAAAGCTTCAGGCAAGTTCCACAGAGACAGAGCTGGTGCTGCCTGGACCTCTGACTCTACTACACCTGGCCACTTACCCTTCATGTCACAAAGGTTTGAACACAGCAGACAAGGAACCAGAGAAAGACCAGAGCCAGCAATAAACTAAGAAACCATCTCAAAGTGTGTTTCTAGCAATGAGCAGACATTCTCATCCAAAGCAAGGGTGCATAAAATCTTAATTTCAAAGGAGAAAATCAGAACTGATCACAGGAGTGGGGCGAATCACTAGAGCCTATCTGGTCTCCCAAAGGAACATACTCTAGTGGTCACTGAAGGTGGGGCTAGGACAAGGACCCAGGTCAAGAGCTGCTCCTTTTGGAGCATCCCACCCCAAAACGCTTCCCAAGCAGAGTGCAGAAGGCATCATCTGTCCACACTTCTGTGAGTTACATGCACCGAGTACTGGTTGCCATCGCTCTCAAAGAATTAAGAGGAAGTGACCAGGACGCTCCCAGCAACCACAGAAAGGAGCCAGCTGTCCAAAAAGTCAACACCCATGGAGCCACCAGGCCTGCGCCCTGCTGGTGCTGCAGGGTGGAAAACCTGAGCACTATAAATTCCTTCTCATGCCAGAAAACACAGCACAATCAGACTGCCGAGCTTGACCTTCTCTAGGAAACGGAGAAGGATGGTGAGGAGAGCATCTGTGCTGTGCACACTACATGTATCTGGGGGCCCTGCTGCACGAAGATGCTCACCTCCCTCAAAGGGGCTGCTGCCAGCTACACAGATCCATGCCCCGAGGCAAAGGACAGGACAGCACCCAGGGACACAAGTGTCTGAAGCCTGAATGGAAGCTGGTGGAGGGGAGGACTCTCTGGAGGCACAGACCCAGGAGGGCACAATCCCACCCTGCCACTCACTGCTGGGTGACCTGTGCAGTTCTCAGACTCTCTGGGTCCTGGTCTCTTTCTTTATGAAAAAAAAAAGGGTGACTGGGGCTTGCTTTGCTTAACAGTTTGGTTTGGGCTGTCTTGAGGACAACACGTTTGAAAATGCTTTGTGAGAGTCATACCAAGGTGGGAGACAATGGGAACAGCCTGTGAGCTCCCTGCTCCCCCTAAGTTTGAATCATCACATAAAATACACAAGTGTTCTGCAGGGGGGGGTCTGCCTTTATGAGAGCAGAAACACCCACAGGAAGATTCCTCCAAGCCTTATGCTGTGTTTCCAACATAGATTAAACTTCCTCACTGACAAGGTTTCAGGGAGTCAAAGTGTGCAAGTGACCCCACAAGCACCTAACCAACAGAGCATCTCTCTCGTTAGTGCCCAAAGAAGAGAAAAGCTGAGGCCACTGAGATTTATCTGGGGAAAATGACACCAAGGCTGGGCTCTCAACAGGGTCACTACCTTTTGAGAGGTGGTGGCAAAGTGGTGGAAGAGAAGCTCCCATGAGCAGGGGACAATCTTCCAGAGCCACCCAGCTTCATTACCACAGCCCAAACACCCTGCGTTACAGATGGCCGCCGAGGCTCAGACAGCGCAGGTGAATGGCCAGCATCACATAGTCAAATGCAGACAGACTCTGGCCATGGCAAACACTGGGCTTGCCTGGACCATGATATTGGGCCTCAGGGTTTCAGGCTGCCACAGGAGGGAGGGGAACCCTGGACCACAAGGTATGGGGACAGTTCCCATGCCACTGAAGAGAACAGGCAAATAAGAAAAACAAAGGGAACGAATGGGGAGGACACATGTAGTGGAGCTAGTGGAATGAGGGACTGTCCCAGAAAATGGCTGCATGCATAAGCGGTGACGGAAGGGCTTGGAGATGTCTCTTGCCAGGGCTTCTGGGCCAAGGACGAGCCACCCTGCCTTACTGCTGTTTGTTCTCTATGTGTTATTCAGTATCTGGCTGCTTGTAAACCTAATGAAATGCAAGCTGATTACACTGGACTCCCTTTCGATTCTTTCCACTTTCATTTATCCCATCCCTGGGTGGAGACAAATATGTTACCGTCTCTGAAAATCCATAAAGACATCTTTCCACAATGGGACAACATTAGGACATGACCACAATGGAGCGTGACAGCCAGTGCTCTTAGGAAGATGGATGCCACATAGCCCGGCCCCAAGCCTGCCCTGGTGGTAGCTGCTCATGTTGCGTCCCTAGGGGCTCAGTCCCACACCAGTGCATGGAATAGTGGCTCAGAACCAGCCACAGCTCTTTAGAGGGATTCCTGAAGCAGGGCAGGCAGAGTGCCATGAAGGGTAGCACGAGGAGGCCCTCATCAAATGCCAGGCTTAAAAGTGACAGAAGGTCTTAAGGCTTTCCAGAAACTTCCCCAAGATTCCTCTCATCCTCACTTCAAACGGAGGACCACAGGACTGGAGTCCCTCCCTCCCACTTGGTCCCATCCCTGTGCTAAGCGGCTGTGTGATCTGAGAAGTCGCTTAACCACCTAGTTCTCCTGCGAAACTATTTAGTGCTTCAAGTGCAGTGGCCTGTCCTGCATCAGGAGCTTGAAGACAGAGCATCTGCCACTGACCACCCTGTGCAAACCCACCAGCAAGTGCATGGCCAAGGAGCAGCAGACTCAGAGCCTCAAGAGGTCTGCAGTCCTTCACCTCTCCTACAGGCGGCGAGGCCCTGGGCAGTGGGTGTGTGAGAGCAGGGAGTGGCTATTTTTAAGTGACATGCTTTGGCTATTTCAAGGCTTGTGTTTTTATTTTATTTATTTAATTCAAGGGGAAGCTGTATTTTCTCATGACTTATTTCTTTCAAAATGGTGTCATGGGCATTTTTAACACTGAAATCATCTTGGCTTTGCAGCTGGTCAAAAGATATCTAAGGGCCAAACCGCTCTTTATCATGCTACTCAAATAAGAAAAACTAATATAGTAGAGTCAGAATTTCTACATCTGGAAGAACCCCAAATGTTAGTGTTTTTCCATAAAAAAGTTAACATCATACTCTGTTTAAAAATACCTAATTTAGTCCCAAAATATAATTCTGATCACAGGGAATGCTTTGAAGCACATTTGCTCATTACAAAACAGAAAACTCAGAGCACCAAGAGACCAAGTGACTGCCCACATCCTGGCCACAGACACCTGCTCCTACAAGCCTTCAGTGGTCCTCGGCAGGCGTGCATGCTGCTTCCACCTGTCCTTGGGCTGCAGCAATCTGTAGTGCTTGTGCTTAGCACATATAAGATGACTGTCCAAACTCACAGCTTTAAAACATCAAAAGGTAAAAGAAGTCTGGTGTTGTGGTGCACACCTGTAATCCCAGCATTCTGGGAGGCTGAAGCAGGAGGATTCGAAGTTTGAGCCCAATTGAGACAACTTAGATTCTGTCTAAAAATTTTAAAAAAGGGCTGGGAATGTAGCTCAGTGCAAACACACGGGGTTCAATCCCTAGTAAACACCCCCCCAAAAAACCCAACCCCAAAAAACAACAAAACAAAACAAAGATAAATAAAAACACCAGAAAAAAAGTACAAATGAGATCAATTAAAATTTAATTTTTACGAAGACCAAATAATTCAGCCAGGCAGCTCAGGTCTGAGGTGATGGGAGGCTTCAGGGACTGAATACTCAAGTCTGGAGCTGTTCTCTGCCCCAGTGTGACCATGCCCACCTCTCTCCAAAGTAGAGGGTAGCCAGGTATGTGCACACCTGCAATCCCAGCCCTCAGAAGGCTGAGACAGGAGGCTCACTAAAAGTTCAAGGCCAGCCAGGGCTACACAATGAGTTCAAGACCAGTCTGAACTACATAGTGAGACCCTGTCTCAAAAAAACTCAAACAAGCAAACAAAAAACAAAGTGGAGGGTAAAAACCCAACAAACAGTAGATGGGATGTCTGGAGATGGAAGCCAGGCTCAAGTCAGGGTCGGCAGCACCTAGGCAAGTGGCTGCAGTGACGTTGAAGGCCTTATCCACCCACCACCCAAACCTGGAAGACAGGTACAATCAGGTGGTTCTGGAGCAGAAGGGAGGCAAGACTAATACACCAGCAAAGCAACTTGGAATCTGAAGCTTTTGCCAAAGTACCTGCTATTTTTCAGGTTTAAGTTATTTTCAGCAAGTATCTTTGTGAAAGTCATAATTTTAATTTTCTATGTATTACTTACATGCTACTATGTTAACTTGTGAAATTCAGTGTTTAGTTTTAAAGTCAGTAAGGTGCTAAAACAAATAGGAATAGTATTATTTGTTTGAACAAACAATGCTAGGCTATTATCTAAAATATAAACAGTATCTATTATAATTCTTCCAAATGTAAAAGAAGAGGAAAAGCAGCTACACTGAAAACTTCCATGTATCTAGGGGCATTGAGCTCACTGGCAAAGTATGGGAGAAAAGAGGCCAGCAAAAAAATGGTTAATGCTGGCCTTAAAGGGAGGCGGCTGGGCCCAATGAGCAGGGCCCCGAGAGCCTATAAAGCCGGCCCAGCGCCAAGGGGGCCAGACTGAGCCTCCAACAGCCACAGGCTTCCTGGGGAACCTTCCCACCAGCCTTCCCAGGCGGGCTTTCTTCTCTGTGTCTCCTGCTGCTCCTATGCTCAGCCTTGTCAACAGGGTCCCAAGTCCAGGATCTCATCGCTGCAGACAATTCCAAGTGTACCTCCAGCAACTGCCGAGAGTGGGAAACATGAGAAGGGTCTGCCCAGAACCCAGATGGCTCAGGGAGGCCCTGCCTGTGACCCAGGTAAGCCCTGCACCCCACCCCAGGATCTGGGGTTTAACCATAGCTGCAGCCCTGCGGCTGAAATGGCAGGGTGTGCCCTAGGGAGAACAGCTCAGGCTCCCACCCTCTAAATGCGAAATCAGGGTGGCTGCGGCAGGGGCTGTGCCTTTTATCCAGTCCAGCATTCTGTCAGCTGTGTTCAAGCCAGAATGTGTTTCACTTGAGGCTCTGCCTTGTACTGTGGTGTGGTGCTCCTGCCAACCCAGGGTGCTTTAGAGAGACATGGGCTGATACACCCAACCTGTCCTTTTCCTAGGTCAGGACAAGCAGGAGAAGAAACAAAATGATACCAAACTGTTCAGTGTACATCTTTATACTTGTAAGTTCATGGCTGAGGCTCTGCTCACCTGGAACCGTCCCTGTGCTATAGCCTGAGATGCTCCAGGGTTCCCACATTCAAAGAGCAAACTAGAAGGCTTGGCAGTTTTTAAAAAGATATTAAATACAGAGGCCTTCAACCCTGCAGATAGACCCTGAGAATAGTGACATTTTACACTGCTCAAATTGGAAGACAAAAAAGAACACAAAGTAGCCAATACAATCAAGCCTCCCTTCCCAGCTCGGCACAGGTGATAGAACACCTTCAGAACAGCTGGCCTTCCCTCCTTTTTCTTTCTCCCTCTTTTTTTAAGCAGTACTTTTGAGAGGTCAATAAATCACCAGTCTGCTCTTGTACCACTTCAAAAAGATTCCTAATGATCTCAAAGGGTAAAATGAGAACCTCAGGCCAGCATCCCCCGCCTCATCTACTAGATGCCCGCACCCACCCCAGCTGTGATGACCCAGTACACACTGCTAAGAACGCTGGCCATGCCGGAGAACTCCAGGTTGCAGCAAGTGCTGCAGGTGACAAGAAGTCCCACATCCACGTCCACGTCCTCCCCCCAATGTAAACCAACACTGAGGGAGGTTTCCTATAACCAATTTCCAGGTTAAAATAGCATTACAAAAATATTTTAGGTTTTTGGTTGTTGTTTGGGGGGTTTATTTGAGGTGGGATTTCACTGTGTTACCCAGATTGGCCTCGAAGCTGTGATCTTCCTACCTCACCCTCTCAAGTAGCTGAGATTATGGGTGTATACCGTGGTACCAGCTTAAAATATATTATGTATTACAGTAATTTGTTAAAACACTGAACAAAATTTTTAACTTTCTTTCTCCCCCCTCCTCTTTCTTGAGAGAGGTCTCTCCGTGTTGCCCATGCGAGTCTCAATTTTTTAGACTCAAGTGATTCTCCTTCCTCTGTCTCTGAGCATGTGGGATTACAGGCATGCACCATTATGCTCACTGACATTATTTTGCCACCATTTTTATCCTATATTTCTGTCTTTCATTCCACATTATGAAAAAGTTTTACTTCAGGCGCCTATGCTTAGTACTACTATTACAGAAAAATCTAGATTTACTTTGCCTACTTTAAGAAACTGCTCTGATTCTACCAGGTTTTCTGAATCTATTACCCAGAGAAGCTGGGTTTTTCCCTTCCCATGCTACTTCTCTTCCCAACAGTGATTGAAATAAATTTTATTTCCTGTGCTGACGAACAGTAGTTTTCCTAAGGTTCCCATGCCCAGCGTGCATGCTACTCCCTATGCCTGCTATCTGGCTGTCACTCATTGCTCTGGGGGATGAGTCATAGCTGTCTCCAACTTAAACTAGGGAACTCTAGGAGCCTTGAGCCAAGAAAGCAGATTTTCCACATTCATTTCTTCTGCTTTAGCTCAGGGACACCACCTCCCCAAGACCATAAAGCCAAGAACGCTGCTTTCCCTTAGTGCTCATGGGATCCACCAGAGTTGCCCAGGCTACAAGCCTTAATCCTGTCCTGTTGTTCTCCAGGTGCCCAGACAGTGAGAACACAGCTGCTGTGCCCCAAAAATGCTGCCGCAGACCAACCATACCGGCTCTTTCAGCTTCTGCAGCTGACAAACCCAAACCATCACGCAGCTCTCTGTAACAGCATTTCCTGCTATACAAATGCCTGGCTCTGTTAAAAGAAAATTGCCTTCCTCTCTAAAGATGAAACTGTTGTTTAAGACTGATTTCTGTGACCCTTTTGCCAAATCCTGAAAGTGGTGTGGTAAAGTCATGGATGTGACCTCCCCAGCCCACATCCTGGATGTGGAGATCTACTCAGGCACTGTGCAGCCAGCAGCCTCCAACAGTTCCCCAGAACTCAACCTGTCCCAGCTGTTGCTTGGCACTGCCCTGGTGAACCAAACGGGTGACCTCTCCGAGCACCAGCAGTATGTCATTGGCCTGTTCCTCTCTTGCCTTTATACCATCTTTCTTTTCCCCATCGGCTTTGTGGGGAACATTCTGATACTGGTGGTAAACATCAGCTTCCGTGAAAAGATGACAATCCCGGACCTGTACTTCATCAATCTGGCTGCAGCAGACCTCATCCTGGTGGCTGACTCCCTGATTGAGGTGTTCAACCTGGATGAGCAGTACTATGACATCGCTGTGCTCTGCACCTTCATGTCTCTCTTCCTGCAGATCAACATGTACAGTAGCGTCTTCTTCCTCACCTGGATGAGCTTTGACAGGTACATTGCGCTGGCCAAGGCCATGCGCTCTAGCCTCTTCCGCACAAAGCACCGTGCTAGGCTGAGCTGTGGTCTCATTTGGATGGCCGCTGTCTCAGCCACCCTAGTACCCTTCACAGCTGTCCACCTGCAGCACACCGAGGAGGCCTGCTTCTGCTTTGCAGATGTTAAGGAAGTGCAGTGGCTGGAGGTAACCCTAGGGTTCATTGTCCCTTTTGCCATCATTGGACTCTGCTACTCCCTCATTGTCCGGGTCCTCATCAAGGCTCACAGGCACCGAGGTCTGCGTCCCCGGAGACAGAAGGCCCTCCGCATGATCTTTGCTGTGGTCCTGGTCTTTTTTATCTGCTGGCTACCCGAGAATGTATTCATCAGCGTCCACCTCCTGCAACGGACACAGCCAGGGGATGCTCCCTGCAAACAGTCCTTCCATCATGCCTACCCCCTGACTGGCCACATCGTCAACCTTGCAGCTTTCTCTAACAGCTGCCTGAACCCCCTCATCTACAGCTTCCTTGGGGAGACCTTCAGAGACAAGCTGAGGCTGTACGTTGAGCAGAAGACAAACCTGCCAGCCTTGAACCGCTTCTGCCACGCAGCCTTGAAGGCAGTCATCCCAGACAGCACTGAGCAGTCGGACACCAAGTTCAGCAGTGCTGTGTGAAAAGCCTTGCTGGAAATAGTATGCACTTTGGCAGGGTGGGCAGGAGGCATGGCTGTGTCGCATTCCCATACCTCGGCGCTGCAGTGAGAGTCACACCTGCTGGGCAAACTCTGCTCTAGTCCTCCCCGGTCTTGTCCTGCTCACTGACTTGCAAGGGACTAAGCAGGTTGCATGGCTCTGGCTGTCTCTGCACACACTGTTTCCCCAGTGAAAAATGATTCTGCTCTTGACCAACAACAGCCAAAAGGAAGAGGGTGATCTCAGTGTGAGCACTTGGTTAAAAGTTAAATCTGCAACTTATCAGTGGCTCTAGGGGGAAATAAAGTCTGGACACAGAATATGCCTGGTGATCTACACTGGATGTTTCCCATACCTATGAATGTAATCCATTACACATGTGGTAACTTGTACATCCTAAGCTGAAGAGGAAAAGAAGGAAGTGTTCCTCTTGCACACACCTGAGCATTCTTATCTCTTTGAGTGCTGCAGCGCTGCTCCTAGCCAACCCTCAAATATCAGCCAGGAAACCCTGGATGCTGGGCTGGGAAGGCCCTCATTTAGCAGAATGCCTGCCCATCTGCCCACCTGCCTGGAGATGCCCACTTCATCGCTATATTGTTTACAACAGTCTCTGCAATTCCCAGAGTATGGGATGAGACTGGAGCCAACATGACATACTCTGCATGTACGGCTGAAGAATTTGCCGCTACAAATGTAACAGTGGGGACAGGGATGATGATGATATAAACAGTTCTCATTAAAATGTACAGAAAAGAAAACTGCTAGTAATGTGCAGTGTTTATCAATTAAATGAAGTCATGTGCTGATTCTTCTAAGGGTATCTTAGCTGTCTAGGCAAGGCGAGAAGAAGATCAAGGGGAGGGGCCCTTAGAAAGAGCCACAGGATCAGAACAGCTCCTTAATCACAAAGGAAAATATGCCTGAAGCCTCACAAAGCTTAGGTGAACTCTCTGACGCTCACATTAAACCTGGCTAGCTGGATAGAACCTGGTGCTTCCAGAGGTCTCATAGGCTGCAGCCTGCCACTGGGTGTGGTGTCCTTGGGCACCAAATACATATTACTAGAAATGCAAAGGCAGGGCTCAGCCCTGCCCAGGTGTCACCTGCCCCCCGACCCCAGCTCCAGCAGTGAGCGGGAGGGCCCACTGCTCTGGTCAAGGAGCTCAGGTCTCCAGACATGCATCCAGGACCTGAGGCAGGGTGTCCCAAAGAACACAAGTGACATGTAGGTGACAGAGACATGACCAAGTTGGTTTTAACTGTTTGCATGTCATTTTCTACTTAAAGTTATCACACTGATTTTTGTTTCTCATAATAAGAAGTTTATTTATAAATAACTTTAAGGTAAAAGGTGAGTTTATTTAAATAAAACATCTGGAGGCCAAGTGTGGTGGTACACGCCTGTAATTCCAGCACTTGGGAGGCTGAGGCAGGAGAATCACTGTGAGTTCAAGGCCAGCCTGGTCTACAAAGTGAGTTCAAGGACAGCCTGAACTAAATAATGAGACCCTGCCTCAAAATAAACAAAACAAAACAAAAAAACAAAACATCCAGAAAGACAGCAGGTGGCTCCTAGACCAAACTGTGCAGTAAGCTGGAGCTCCACTCTTCCTCCTTTGCTCCAAGGTTGGGTGAGGACGGCTGGGAGATGCTTGGGTTCACTGCCCTAATCACTGTCACTGCAACTCTCCGAGAGTATAGTCTTAAACTGTGACCCTGAGCAGTAACCTTTAGTGCCATGTATCCCACAAGTTGTGCCCACAAGCAACACACGAAAGAGTCCTCCAGGATGATCCCCACAGATCAACAAGTCTAGCTCAGGTGGAGGACCAGCATATGTGGTACTGACCTGCAGAACCCCCAGGGTGGCTATGGCTGCCGTATGGATGCTGAAGAACCCCTCCCTTTGCCTGAGCCACGGTGTGAGTCTTATCTGCAAGGGTAGAAACATCATTGTGCAGCGGCCAGGGCCCAAGATGCCTTTCACCCCAGCATCCTTATGCACCATGACTTGACTGGCCCACGTGGTGTTCTTCCAGGGTGCCCAGAGACAGCTGACAGTACTGCCCAGTCTGTGGCTGTAAACCTGACAGAGTGAGATGCTGACAGGAATACACGTGGTTCAAGTTCCCTTTCTGACCTCAGTGCTGGTGACAGGAGGCCCTTAATCTCAAACACAGGGAGAGAGCAGGGCTGGCCCCCGCCATAAGCATCCAGCCACACAAGAAACATCCACCACCGACCACCCCTCATCCCCATTTGAAAAGTGGGTCACACAGGTATTCCAGGCATGCAGAAATTGGAGACCTGATGTTTTTAAGTTTTAGGTCTGAGAGGGAGCAGGTGTGGGGCAAACAAGGAGCAAGACACAGAGCTATTTAGTGTATGGTCCCTTGAACAATCCTCCAAGGCAGATACTATTCATATCACTTAGAACAGACCAAGGCTGTGACTGTCCAAGACCTTAGCTGGTAAGTGTTGCTGCCAGAAACCTTGGTCTTTCTAGTTCCCAAGCCCATACGACTTCCTCCACGACACATGGCAACTGGGATCTAACAGGCAAAAGCACCCATCTGGGAATCACAGAAAGCCAGAGAGTCCTGGGCACAAAGAAGTCAGCCAAGGTCACTGCTTTCTCTTTTCTAAGCTGCATCACAAGGCACTACAGGGAAGGCAAAGTGGAGCTCTCCCCTAAAGGACTGAGGGATTCCGGCTGCCCGGCCCAACTGGAGATGCAAAACAGGCACACATTCTTTTACTGCAAACTAGCCCCTAGGGCCACTGTGTCTCCTCTAGCCCTCAAGACCTCAGGAGCAGCCACTGGGGCATTCCACCTCCGAGGCTGCTCCTTCCCACACCACAGATGCCACTGTCCATCCCATGCTGGCCCACTCTGAGGCTCCTGACTACTA